TTAAAATGTGTTAATCTAGAAAGAGGAGTTCACACTAACAAACAAACTTCATAACATTGTTGTTAAAATGTGTTAATCTAGAAAGAGGAGTTCACACTAACAAACAAACTTCATATATTGTTGGTGAAGAAACTTTTAATCAACAAAGATTATTGTACAACAATGACTAAAATGCATGTATATCACTAGTTTTGTTATGTTGACTTACTGATTAAGTATATTTTATTATAAATTACGGCTTTTAAAGTAAGTAAAATTTGTTTTTAGAGCAGGTATGTTATTGTTGAAAGAGACTGGTATCGATAAAATCGTTCTTTTTTATCAACATATAGAGTTTTCATGTTGTATTGAAAAAAAATGGCAATGGGGAAGTTATATGTCTTAACAACAGACTTCATATACATATTGGTCTTCAAAAATGTCAACTGAAAATTTGAGTTTGACAAAAAAGAAAATAATTTATATATTGCTGGGAACGATTAATGTGTTAAAATGTCACTGTTTACTACAAAGTAAAGGTTTCTGAACAGTGAGTAGACTTCCTATGTTATCGTTAAAGGAATAATTAACGGTTTGTTTAAAATTCATAACGTAGAGTAATAAACAGTTAAAAGATGTAGAAAGGGGTTCTATTCGTTTTTATTGAGCAGCCACACTGCTGCATTGCAGTAACGCCATCAGAATTAGATGATTCTACGTAAAATTAAATTATACATGAACTAAAAAAAGTTGTAATTTTCAACCTGAACAACACCTTATACACACGTGCTTTTATAACGGCGGCATTAATTTTCGAGCCCCAGACTTCTGAATACCCTAATCAATAAGCTACGCCTCACCCTTGTAATATAAGAACTTAGTAAAATTGTTAGTGGAAGGAACAGTGTTGAGCTTGAAACTTTTATATTGATTGGAAAAGACAATTTAACAATTCTTCATACATTCGGCAAATTGCCAAGAGAGGTTCTAGTGCTATAATGATTATAAGAACATAACTCCAGGGTTACAGTCAGGCAATTTAACAATACTTTGTATATTCACAGAAAGTATCAAGAAATTGTATTTCAATAATGATTATAAGAAAATAACCCTAGTGTTACAGTCAGAAAATTTAACAATACTTTGTATATTCGCGAAAGTATCAAGAAATTCTATTCCAATAATGATTATAAGAAAATAACCCTAGTGTTACAGTCAGAAAACTTAACAATACTTTGTATATTCGCGACAGTATAGAGAAATTATATTCCACCAATGATTAAAAAATAACCCTTCTGTTACAGTCAGAAAATTTAACAATACTTTGTATATTCGCGAAAGTATAGAGAAATTATATTCCACCAATGATTAAAAAATAAAGTGTTACAGCTTTAGGGATATATATATTCAGAAATATGCAACGTAGAAATTAGAAACATTTATTAAACTCTAATGTTTTAGGTGTAGATAGTATATATTCATAGCACTTACATCTAACCCGAGTCGATGGATATCGTGACGTCACAATGCTAAAATCAGGGATTCGATTCATCTCCAATAGACACAGGAGATAGCCCGATGTGGCATTTCTGTGAGAAAACACACAGACATACATCCATTCAATTCCAATGTCTCTGGACCAATTTTAGTTTTTCATGATATGAGTATTTCCTTACAACGTTAATAGTCTCTTGTAGCAGGACTTTAGATTTGGCCCAGCTCGTTTCTTTGCGAAATTTCCAGACATTCAACAAAACAGGTGAACTGTTAGTAGAAGGACGCTGTTTTAACCGGCGTCTATTTTGGTAAAGTGAAAAATTCGACTGATCCGCTACATGATTGGACTACCACGAAGAAACAAAATGGATCAAATCACAAGTCCTACTGGGCTGCACGTGCCTAGTGGTTAGCGTTCTTGGACTGTGAAGAGGATTCATAGTTTACACTCCGATGTTGAAAAAAAAACGGTAACCGTACTTTGGGGCTATAGAGGAGCTATAAGAATAAAAGTCAGATCATACTATTGAGTAGCCGAATAGGTGCGGTGGGTGCTGTTTGCAAGTTGCCTCCCCTCTAGCCTAACAGTTAAAAAATTAGAGATAGCTATGTGCAGATAACACTTTCTGTATATCATAGACTGAATGTCTAGACACGCTTATATAACATGCAAAATCAATGCAGTAATAAAAACGTTGAATTCAGAGAATCTGTACACTGAATCTGAAATAAACAACTTCTTTGTTAAAACATGACTTTTAACTGTGAAATAAACAACTTCTGTGTTCAAACATCACTTTTAACTGTGAAATAAACAACTTCTGTATTAAAACATCATTTTTAACTGTGAAATAAACAACTGTGTTAAAACATCACTTTTAACTGTGAAATAAACAACTTCTGTGTTAAAACATCACTTTTAACTGTGAAATAAACAACTTCTGTATTAAAACATTACTGTTAACTGTGAAATAAACAACTTCTGTATTAAAACATCATATTTAACTGTGAAATAAACAACTTCTGTATTAAAACTTCACTGTTAACTGTGAAATAAACATCTTCTGTATTAAAACACCACTGTTAACTGTGAAATAAACAATTTATGTCTTAAAAGATCACTGTTAACTGTGAAATAAACAAATTTTGTGTTAAAAGATCACTCTTAGTTGTCAAGTTTAAGAACAATGGAGAAATTTCGTATGGTTGATTAAATAATGGCTATAAAATGCCATCGCTAACTCAAAAGACGAGGTTTCACAACAGTAAACAGACTTCGTTTACTGAAGGATCCATTAATGTGTCCAAATAGTATATTGTCTCTTGTAAAATAGTGTTTCACAATCTTGAAATACTACAGTTAAATTAATGATTATGGACATCTTTGTTGTTTATGAACCAACACTATATATGTAACGATTAACAATATAACGACTTTGGTATTTTAATTCATTTGTATGTTCATACACAGGTATGTTTTTACTTGATAAAATAAGCAGGTTTAAGAGTAATTTATATAAGATTTGTTAAATGGATGTTGATATATTTAAAACATAAGTTTCTTATAATAACGAGTATAAATCATTATCAATTTATTAATAGTTCAGTGAAATATCAAACACTAATTATACTTCTACCATATCTAAATGAAGTACGAAGAAGATTCTAAGACAAAGCCGCTTCCTTCTTATCAATAGCTCGCAGCTGGAGAATAAAACTCTCGAGAGTCAATAGATGTAGCTTCAAATAATCCAAGAAAATAGTGTTATTAATAAAAGTGTTTGCTGCTTCTCCGTGCACGTTGCGAACGGCGCAATGCTACCAATACTGCGCACTGGTACAGGTGCTGCGACGGGACTCCACAATTGGAGAGAGGAGAGCTAAACTCCTCTTGCGTGTAAATAAATATAAACATTTGTCTTAAGTAGAATATTACTTATTTTTACTTTTTGATCATGTGTTATATTAACGAGTCACAATAATAACACGACTTGCAATGATTTACTTGTGTTATTATTTTATTCTAGGCTTCAGACTTATTGTCTAAAGATACAAAAGTCACGTTCTCATTTTCTATTGTTGCTTGGCAACTTGTAATTGAAATTGTTCTGTTAGACCTGTTGTTTGCTAAACGTTTTGCACCTGTAGAAGGCTCAGGTAATTGAGATGAAAGCCTGTGTACTAAAAACTAAACTA